GATATGGGAAACATGGTGTATATGTACAATGGAATATTATTCAGCAATTTTAAAAAGAATAAAATTTTTTCATTTGTGACAACATGGATGGAACTTGAGGGGAATTTGCTAAGTGAAAAAAATCGGACAGTAATGATAGATACTGTATGATCTCAGTTATATGTGGAATCTAAGAAAAGAAAAAATCAGAAGCATCAACACACACAAAAGACCCAAGTCATGCACATAACCAATTGGTGGTTGCCAGAGGTAAGAGGCGGTGGTTGGAAAAAAATGTGTGATGGCACTCAAAAGGACAGACTTACAGTTGTAAAATAAATGAGTCATGGGGGTATAATATACAGCATGGTGACTATAATTATTGCATGTTGGAAAGCTGCTAAGAGAATAGATCTTAAAATTTCTCATCAGAAGAATAAAAAATTTTGTAACTATGTAAGAGAATGATGTTAACTGGACTTACTGTGGCGATCATTTGGCTGCATAAACAAATACTGAATTATTATGCTGTACAGCTGAAATTAATATAAAGTTACATGTCAATTATACATCAATAAAAATGATCCTGAATAAATATTCAAAGCATAGGGTATCAATTATCTTTCCAAATGAAACTAAATATTCTATCTCCCTTCTCCCATATTGAATAGGGTTAGGAAATTATAGTGCTCATCCTTATATCTGTGGTAATCAGATACTGACAGCACTTATTATGAGTTGACATTTTACTCAGGAAAATTTTGGTATGTTTTCCTACCTAAAATATCCTTTTGAAAGTGATTAATCCTACACCTACCCCAAAATGCAGTTCTAGTTTCCATTTGTCTTGAAATTACTCAGATTGTATCTATCAGGTTTAATATGCTGGAGAGTTAACGCTATTTTGAAAATGTATACTGCAGAGGCAATAATCTACTGTGACTGTAAGACTTAACATGAAGAACAAACACATAAATCCACATATATGAAGTCTGTTACAATTTCCCTAAACACAAAGCTTCAGTGTATAAGTAATGCATTAAAAAAAAGTATGTGCATGCCCCAGTGTTCACAGCAGCACTACTGACAATAGCGAAGACATGGAAACAACCTAAGTGTCCACTGATAGATGAATGGATAAGATATGGTATATATACACAATAGAATATTACTCATCCATAAAAAAGAATGAAATAATGCCATTTGCAGCAACATGGATGAAACTAGAGATTATCATATTAAGTGAAGTAAGTCAGACAGAGACAAATATGATATCACTTATATGTGGAATCTAAAAAAAAATGATACAAATTCTATTTATAAACCAAAACAGACTCATAGACATAGAAAACAAACTATGGTTACCAAAGAGGAAAGGGTTGGGGAGGGATACATTAGGAGTTTGGGATTAACAGATACACATTACTATATATAAAATACATAAACAACAAGGACCTAACGTATAGCACAGGGAACTATATTCAATTTCTTGTAATGAGCTGTAATGGAAAAGAAACAACAACAACAAAATATCTATATAGATATATATAGATATATATGGATAGATAGATGTATATGCATGACTGAATCACTTTGCTGTACACCTGAAACTAACATTGTAAATCAACTACACTTCAATAAAAAATAAAATTTAAAAAAGTGCTTTGCTGGAAGAAAAAGTATGTGCATGTATGCACACCTTTTTAAACACTGATTATGTTTCCAATATGGTTATAAATCTAACATTTTATTTATCCTGAGTATAATCATGTTTTTACTAATATTTAGTCTAAATTTTTCCATTTTTCTGTGTAATATAAAATAATCTTTTGCCAGTTAACCCATCAAATCACTTTATTTTTACGAATACTACTTCAAAAAATAAAATCAATTTCCGGAATCCCTGAGAATGGATTTTAGTAAACAACATGAATGAATATGTTGACAGTGTTAGTTTAAGCCATTAGAAAGCTTTCTGAGGTTGTTGAACTGGAATATCTTGCCTGCTTCTTAAGCAAAAAGCAAGCAAGTCTATATTCTAATAAATGAATTGTTTTAGGGGGAATTTTTTTAACTTTATACAGTAGAGAAGAATGACATAGTACCAATACTGGGTTTTTTTTTTTTGACTAAATTAATGATCACATTTTACTACCACCTACAGTAATATGGAAAATATCAGACCTACAGTAATGCATTTTCTATTACCTTCTAACTCAATCTTCTCCCCAACCTCCTACCTCCATTTCCTTCTATTTTTTTTCTTTTTAAACTTGTTCAGCGAATGTATTACCTGTCAAAGGCCATGAATTGACAATTGAGAAGATTGAAGAGTTCGTTCCTTTGTCAGGATTATGTGACAGTGGAAAAGAATAAACCATTAAGCTCCCTTATGACCCTTCATGCCATTCCATGAGTTACAGATTGAGGACTAAAACTGGAGTTCTGTTCTGCCCTTTCAGATTTTTTCAATCTTTTAATCAAATATATCATATCACCTCATTCTTGACTCAAATTTTACAAAACACCCAGGTATTCCATGAGTATTTATTATACTCTGCTACCTATGGAAGCATTATGTTACTACTACTATTTTCCCCAAATATTTTAAATAAATTATTGTAGGAAAGTTTAAAATATGAATCCATGAGAACTAATTAGTTAATCAATACATGAACAAAGGGATGAGTCATGAGTCACGTTCCCATATACGTAGGTTTTTATGCACATATATTGAAAAACAAAATAAATATGGCACTAAAATTGATCCATTGTTAAGAACACTCACTATGTTAGAGCAATACATTATCCTGATATATGGAAATCTGTTTGAGACTTTTACTTTCATTTTTCTCTGCCATGGCCCATCAGCAGGTGCCAAATAAGTATTAAGGGAGGAAAGCTGTTTTACTTGATACTATGTGATATATTCCAAGTTAGCCTATTTTCAGAATCCTGGCAGAAGACACAGATTCCTTGATTGTCAGAAACAAAGGATTTCATTCCTCGTAGCAATAGGAGTGGCTAGTGGAGAAGTAAAGATGAGGCAAAGGAAACAGAAATGGAAGTAAAGTCTAAAAAGAAGCAGTTTTAATTTGGTCACACTTGTGGACAATTGAGGCTCAATCCTTCTGAGATCTTTACAGAAGAATAAAAAATGCCTTCTAGAGTCATCTCTCTGATCAAGGGATGATACCAAGATGGCAATAAAGAGCATTACTGATTTCATCCCCCATTACGAGAACTACTAACAATTTATCACGAACAAGATACCACTGAGAAAAATCCTGTTACACGAGGCCAAGACTGAAGCGCTCCCCTGTACCAAAGAGATGGAGACAGTCCCCGTTAGAAGGTCAAGAGGAACAGCTGCATGCTGACTGCTTTGCCCCTCCCCCAGGCCGGGGCAGCACCACATCCTGAGCCTACACTTCCTCTAGTGGGAGAAGAGAGCCCAGGGTGGATGTTGACCTCCCCCAGCATTATCAGTTGCTTCTTGGGAGTCCCCACTGCATCTCACAGAGATCATGGAGCTGGACCACTGGGAATCGGATTATGAAAGAGAAGGGGAAAGTGTCTGCAGCTTTGCTTATCTACAGAGCCAAGACTGTGGAAAGTCTAACCAGGGAACTCAGCAGGATGTAGGTCTTCCTGTTTTAAAGCCTCAATTAAAGAGCCTTCCCAGCACTGGAGTATACTACTGCAGAGTATAGCTCCTTGTCCCACTCGACTAGGAAGCATGGCCATAACACCTGGCGGTGTAGCTCCTGGTCCTGCTCCACGAGGAAGCCTGGCCTGAGCATCTGGAAAATAGCTTGATCGAGCAGCACTTCAGCAGAAGGCCTGCCAGTAGCTCTGCCCTTCTGTAGAGACAAGCTGGTGGCCCTGTCTGGCCAGAGTTTGGCAGACAGCTCTGATTGGCTCCCCAACAAGAGTCTTGTCATCCTGGGGACTTGTTCTACACATCCCCACCCTAAGCAGGGAAACTAACCCATAGTCCTGCCCACTGCCAAATGTAATCTCCACACATGCTAACCAGGAAAACTAACCTGAGCTCCTGGGAGTCTCGGTAGCCCATCCCGCAGCCCCAGCACAATGTCACTTGAGCAGAGAACCGAATAAGTGATTCTGTGTCTGCAGAGTCAAAACAGTGGCCCCCATCTCTCTGTGGAGCTTAGCAAGCAGGTCTACCAGATTTGATACCCAGAACAAATAGCCTTGCTGGCCCTGGGACCTGTTCTGCAGCCCCAGCAAGGCAGGAACGCTAATTTATAGCCCTGCCAAAAGCTGAATACAGACTCCAGCCTGACCCAAATAGGAAACCTAACTAGAGCTCCTGGGAATCTGGGTAGCCCATCTTGGAACCCTGATTACAGTAGCACTTCCATGGTAGGATGCCCCTGGCATCTCTTAGAGCAGCCTTAGAGAAGCCCTAGGGACAAAAAGTGAAAAATCAGATGACTGTCCTTCAGAGATGTTTTCAGCATGAAGTGGGTCAAGGACCACCAAGAAGTATGAGCTGCAGCCCTGGCTCTGGCTGTGGGTGTTACAGTGACGGCAAGAGATACAAGGCAGTGCACAAATGGCAACTAACACCTGACTATATATGTATGTTTATGAATACCTATGTGACATACAAAGAGGATAATTTATGGAAAAACATTCCCTAAATTTTAACAGAAATTATTTTGTAAAATAAGAGTGACATTGGGTACTGGTTGTATTAATTTCCTAGGGCTGCGTTAACAAAGTACCACAAACTAGGTAGCTTAAAACAACAGAAATGCACTCTCCCACATTTCTGGAGACGAGAAGACCAAAATCAGGGTGTTAGCAGGGCCATCCTCCCTCCATAGATTCCAGAGAACCCTTCCTTGCCTTTTACAGCTTCTGGTAGCCCCAGACATTCCTTGGTTTGTGGTCACGTAACTCTGATCTTTGCTTCCATCCTTCTGTGTGTCTCTGTATCTCTGTGTATTCACACAGCTGTCTTCTTTGCGTTTCTCTCCTCTCCTTATAAGGACACCTGCCATATTGGACTAGAGCCCATACCACTCCAGGATGACCTCATCTTAACTAATTACATCTGCAACGACCCTATTTCCAAATAAGGTCACATTCTGAGGTACTGGGAGGTAGGACTTTTAATATATATTTTGGGGGGAATCCAATTCAACCCATAAGAACAAAGGAGGATTTCTATTTGTTAATCTATATTTTCTAAAATATTTATAAAAGTTTGCAAAGAATATTCTGGAAGTCATCGCAGTTTGTCTTATTCTTATACCTAGTGTCAACTTTCTGTTTTACATGCCTGCGTATGCTATCAAAGTCAAATACTCACTTAGTCCTTGCTGCTAGCTCTGTGACACAGCTTTGGCCAATAAACAGAGATACACTGACCTTGTTTTTCCCCCTGCCCTTTCTTTCTACTTTGAAAGAAAACACTATGTCTAGGATTGTACAACAATTTTACAATCCTAAGAGAACAAGCAAGTTTATTTAAACAAACAATAACAACAACAACAAAAATACACTGGGCCTAGCATCACAAGATTATTCTAGCAGTCACTTACTCAGGACCTCTTGTCAGGTGTAAAACAAATAATTTGTGAGTCACTGCTGTTTGTGTTTTCTGTGACTTGTAGGTAGACTCATGCCTAAATGATACATGTGTGCATGTGTTCTGGTGCATCTTATAATTTTCAAAGACATAGAGAAGTTGGTGTCTCAAGTAAAGGATGTCAGCAGGAAAAAAATTTATTTTAATGAAGATTTTTGAGACATTTCAAATAAAGAGTTGTACTTCTTTTGGAGAGTATAATTTCTAGAAAACAAATCAAATGTCCAAAAAAACCCACAATGTAAAATAAAGCTTCACCCCTACTACTAAGGTTTTAGTTTTATTTACTTTTTATTAGTAGATAAGCAGCTGCCAGAAGGTTGTCTAAAATTTATTGAGAAGCATGTAATAGATGTTGAATGCTGGTGAATATGAATTTTTTTTTAATGAAAAGGTAGACTTTGTTAGGATGTGAAGTACAACTGAATAGTCTTTGGTGTACTTTATATTTTTGTGGCAGAGTAAAGATTAGAAAGTATCATATGAAGTTAGTTTTTTCTAAAATAGGATTCTGTGTATATGTGAATTTAAAAGTTTATTTTATGTTGATTACTTCTTAGTGCTTTACTTTAATATTTTAAGTAGAATTACATATCATCTTTCACTTTCCAAAGTTCCGTTTGATCTCACAGGTAAAATATGATGAATACTAAGGTCTTTTCTAAATTCTAGGTCATGGATACATAGTATGATAGATGTCATATTTTGAAAATTCTGACTGCAGAATACACTCATATATCCTTAGATACTGTTTAACTTTACAGAAAGTTAGCAGTAGCATCTATAGGATTACAATCTTCATGGTCACTTCTGTCTCTTTATGGTGCTTTCCAGTGAACTTAGAAACCCTGATCGGATCCCTGAAAGATATCACAAATTCATGTATATTTTTCCAATGTTGATAGAAATATGTACAACCTAAGTAATGATTCCTTTTTGTTTTGCTAATTGATAGAAGTAATTTCCTTTTCTTCATATAATTACATAATTTTACAAGAGTACTTGAAAATTTTTTAAATAATTTTTTTTACTATTTTAAGAGAAATTTTTTAGAATGTGTTTTTAAAATACTCAAATCACCACTTTGCTTTATTTCCATGAGCTATTAAGAATTTATTCATGTTCAAAGGAATGCTTCTGTGTGAATGATACAATCAACTGTTTCCTTTCATATTTTGTTCTTAGCACATACATTGATTTGTCTGGATATGTCTCACTAGGATGAAGCATAAAGGGGATGAGTTCTCCTTGTTGAATGTTGAAGGGCATCACAACGTGTATATGAAGTGGCATATGCCACCTGGCTGTGCTGTCTTGGAGCATTTTGAGAAGGCTTATGTAGCCAAATCTTTAAGCACATCTGCCGAGTACAGAATCACATGATAGGTAGTGACATTGAAATTCTGCCCCTAAACCACACACACACGTGCGCGCGCGCACACAGTTTCTTCTCATCATTACTAGAGATAACCAAACTAAATTCCTTATATAACATTTTTGAAATAAAAACATCAGTTACTTCAAAAAATTAAATAAACAGTGTGCTATCTTATCCTTATTGATTAAGAGTTCTCTACTTTTGTCTAAATAAAGGACAAATGGGAACAATATACCATACTTAATAAATTGAGACCTCAGTAATGCATATGCAAAGTTTATCTCCTTCCAAATTTGAAAATACCACTATTTGTTTCCATGTTGTCCTAACTGTCTTATTTCTCCCTAAGGTAAATTGGAAACAAAAATATTCAGGTAGCAACCTCATGGATAATTCTTTTTTTTTGAAATGAGTATTTCTTTTTATCTTTTATTGAAACCCCAAATTAGAGTTTAAACCATAGGAAAGGATCGCTATCAATGACTGTTATTATTGACCCTTTATTATTTTTGCTATTTCCTTTTTTGAACAATTTAGTCAAACACACAGTTGCTTTCAACAAGGTAATGGCAGCAGGACGTATTCCAGATGAAACTGTTTTTTTTGGCACCCACACATATATGATTGTCTTGATAAGGACTGGTCCAGGGCCCAGCCATGGCTGAGTTGCTAGGACAGCATAGGGATAGGCAAGCTGAAGAAGTAGCGGGTGCTGACCTGGGCCATTGTATCAACACACAGTAAAATTAATCAAAGCTATCCTTTGTTTGCAAGTCAATTGTGGGCCAATTTTTAAAGTTCCACCATGTTAAAAGATGGATAAACTCAGAACATAGTAAGGTTTCTAAATTTTTTTCTGTCCATACTCCTTCCTTGGGCTGTCAATGGATATTCTAAGAATGTGAACATAACAAATGCTGCAAGAAACAAAATATGCAAGTTCAAGCTCTGGCCTGTGAAGTACAAACATGTATCTGCCCATATAATGATATATTACAAAAGATACTAAGTAAGTAAGTAAGTTTAATATATAAATTACATGATTTATTTAGATAACCACTGTATATTTTTACATAGATGAAAAATCAAATATCATTTAAATAAAATATGTTGATTTTGTTGTCTCAAGTAAGCATGCCCTACTTGGCTTACAATAAAGACATTCGTTCTGTTAAGAAAAAATATATATGTATATACATGTACAACTGAATTTCCCTGCTATACACCTGAAACTAACATTGCAAATCAACCACACTTCAATAAAAAATTTTGTAAAAATTAAAACAAAACAAGGACATTCTTGATATACTACATCTACTGCTATAACCCAGTATTTTTCTTTCTATGTGTAAAGGGGATTTTACTGTTCAATATTGAATTAATTTGATACAAAAGAGGACTGAATAACAAAACTATACACACATATCTTTTGTTTAAATTTATGTTAATTATTTTGAATATCATTGAAGTTCACAGAAAATTACTTGTTTCCAGAAAGTTCCACTCCATAATTTATAAAATTGAGCAATTTTTTAAAATGAGAAGAAATATTTATGGAGGGATGACAAGTAATTTATATTTTTCTCAATGCCAGCTGCCAGACCCTTATTTAGAAGTATTTCAAAATTATTAGAGTATTCAATAATTATATGAAATCACATTTAATAATTCAGATATTTTCAGATATATTTATTTAAATAAAAGTATTCACTTGTAGTCTCCTGATTTTATATACGTATTCACGAATGAACTTAAAATACCACACTGTTATTGTTAAGTGAGATCTGAATTTAGACAAACATGGGTTTAAAATTAGGCTATATCAGTCACTATTTGTCAGATTTTGTACAACTTTCTTAATTTCTTTACACTCCAGTATCCTCATCCATAAAATGAGAAAATTACAGTAACTCACTGCTAATTTGAGTTATGTTCATTAAAGGATACAGGGCACCTAAAGAACTAAGTGACTACCTGGCACAGAGTAAGTGCCTAATAAATCTTATTTTATCATTATTACTGTTTTATTTTGTATATTATTTTTACCTTAGAAATAAAATGAGATATTAAAAATGTCACATCATGACTCACCAAAATAATCTATCAGAAGAAACTACTTTGGTATGTTTTTATCTAAATACTATGTTCAGTGAGTAAAAGAATTTAATTTGAACTGGTCACAATTGATTTGCTTGTACTTCACAAGCCAGAGCATGTACTTACACATTTTGTTTCTTGTAGCATTAGTTAAATGCACATTCATAGAACATTCACCAATGGCCCAAGGAGGGAATTAATTACAAATGACGGCAAAAGAATAATCCTAGAAGTGTTATGGATTCAGCTATAAGGACTATAAAGTTTATGTAGACATTAGAGTCACATTGTGTTTTCAGAGTGACATTTAAAGCATATTAAGGGTGATTTGGGGAGATTTAATATGCATTTAAAATACCTTTCTAAAAATATTGGAAGGTTGATGCGTGCACATGTATATACAATCCTATTTTCTAATTAAAAAATAAATCATCTGCACATCAATCAAAAGTTTTCCTTGAAAGCTATATAGTTGAGCCAGTCAATCAGTAGCTGGATTATCCATTTAAGTCAAGAAACTGATACACCAGGGAAGAGCACAGAGTGGTGTTTGGATGGATGAACCAAGGGAACCTGAAAGAAAATGTTCAAAGGGTCTTTGAACAAAACCTGAAGGTCTTGATAAAGAGACCAAATTAGATAAAAAGCAATGGGAGAGGATCCCTGCTTCTAGGAACTTGAGGTCAGAGCAAGGAGGATTAGAACACTTGGAAGAGTTCATTAGGAGAAACAGAGGATTCTTGGAACATGACTGTGGGAACTCAGCTTCATTTCCATCATTAAGAATTCTGGTCTATCTCCTTTTTCCTAGACCAAAGGACCGACTCAGGTTTAAAGGCACATAGATGAGAAAAATAAAAAAGAAAAACACTATTTGTTCTGCAGTTGTCAAGGTAGAGAGAACTGGTACGTGGTTTTCTCGTCCATGGCCTGGGTGATCTGGGGATACCAGCATAAAGAAGCACGGATGTGAGGTCCTCAAAGCAGAGGATCCTGAGAAACACATGACCTGCATCTATCTGAG